TGATTGTTTTTAAGTAACAAGCGTTTTGAATACCGCCATTACTCGCGCCACACGCTCGCCGGCGTCGCCTGTACTAAGTATTCAAACCGTGTCCGCTACATGAGTTAAATGACAGCGAACCATTGTGATACTAGGCTATTGTTGCCAGAGGCGCGGTAGCATTTATTAGTAACATTCATCTCACTTTTGGTAGTAAACTACTTTATTAAGACATCCAGTACACCTTTATAAGGATCAAAATTTTCGAATGAATCGCAATAAAATTATAGTAACCTTAATCCTGTTATAAACATTGTAACGTCCTGGATTCAAATCCGCGAGAAAACATCCGAATGTTTATAGTCAAAATGCATCGACAGCTAATCTTACATAATTAGATACAAATAAACACGCACACGCAAATATTGGCAGAGGAATAGCACGGAACGCTGACGATGCCGGTTCAAGTCCTGCCCGAGTCGAAAATGCTTTTAATTTATTTTCGATTTTTAAATTATATAGTGCCTACGTGTGCAATAACATAATAATAGTTGTTGTAAAGCTGGAGTACTTCCTCACACATCACCTTCCATCAAAGCCACGCTTTTATGTCTTCTGTCGTCTAAAAAAGAAAAAAAATTACACACAGCAGGCCGCTCGTCTATTTTAACTGTAAATTAATTCGTATTTACAAATGTGTCTGCCACATTGTGTCTGTTATTTTTATTGTAATCAAATTTAACTTTGCCGATTGCCTTATAGTGAAGAATTTAAAATATGTATATTATTAGACTTCATGAAGTGAACGATGAAGGGTAAAAAATTACGATTCATAAAATAATTTCTCTGAAACGCAAAAACTGACCCAGTTAAAATTACCAGTAGTTTTTACAGCCAAATCACGAACACTATAACGATGCCGACCATTCTCATAACACCATAATACAGTTTACTAATAGTCAGTTGTGAAAACTTTATTGAACTGGACATACTTTTAGTGCTAAAATATATAGAATTTAAATAGGATTTCACGTCTGAATACGTCGAAATAATAATTATGTATTACTTTAGTTATATCATGCTAAGTTTAAAAGTCACATCACTACATAGTTTAAAACAAAATCGCCTTTTCTATTCCTATGTACGATTAATACTTTAAAACTACACAACTGATTTTGCGTTTTTATAGATAGAGTGATTCAAGAGGAAGGTTTTTATATATAACTTTAACAGCTCTGTAATGTATCATTGCACCCGAGCAAAGCCGGGGAGGGTCGCTAGTAAATCTATAAAAAAGAATATGCATTGTGATACGAGTGCAATGTTAATTTGTTGAGATTATTTTCTTCTCTGCCAGTACTACAGGCTGTGGCAACAGTAGTATTGCACCCCCCTCGGACATTTCCGGACTCCACCGCGCGTGACACTAGTCACGCAGAAGGTTGCACGCCAGGAAGTAGCCAGGAATGACTCTCGATTAGTTTATTTGGACAATAGTTAGTAACGCCTTATATACGCGGTTGTACTGTCAAAGAGTCAAATGAAACTAATGTAAATAACCATCAAGAACAGTTCCTAAGAATTCCACAGTTCCACAGATGAATAAGCCGTCAAGTTAATCGCGTTTCGGTTTTAGTCTGTGGATTTCCGACTATCCAAAGCCAAAATAGGGGTACGGCGCATTTTGTTTACTCGTAGTTGTAAAACTTCACTTACCATCAAAAGAACCCCACGCTTCCATGCTTGTCTGTTCTCCTCCATCATAAAAAAATAAGAAGAATGTATCCCCGTGGAGAGTGGGAAAAACACAAGAACAGTATTTTATAAACTCTTTAGTACCTGTTTCAATAAAACACTTCAACGGTTTGAAACGCGATATATTAGTTAAACTTATTGAAAATGATTTTTAATTTCGGCCCGACGTTTCGGATGCTGCAAAGCGTTTTAATTAAAGTGTTTTATTTAAATGTGTACTACTCGCTTAAACTATAGACAGTGTCTTTAGTACCTGTTTAAAACTCTTTTTGACAATAGAACTACGATATTATCTGTGGAAATGTAATAAATCATTTCAAATTCAATTTTTTAACTTAATGTATCAAGAAATCATTATAAAGTTCCACTGACGTGAAAGACCGTCAACATTTCTTCAAGTGCGCAATTGCGACCCTCCCGGGCTTAATTAACCGACGGTTACATATCCCCAATTACTGTAATCAATAGTTCAGTTCATTCCATGAAACAGAAATGTTATGCTTTTCATACACAAACTCATTATATTATATTATATTATATTATATTCAATAGAACTTTAAAGTTTAAACACCATACGCTGTAAACTTGTGAACATTTTGCTAATAATTTATGTAGGAACTTCACAACCTTTTTTTTCTTACTACGCAATCTGAAATATGAAAGATCTAAAATGCTACTTATATAAATGCTTTACCTTGTAATTATATAATAATATATGTTTGAAAAAAGAAACGATTTAAAATACGAAATATCGCACACACACACATGCACATGTCGCTTATAAACTTCGCTTTTTAAACGATGTTTTTATAGAAAGTGCTTTATTGTTAAAGTCCTAGAATTTTCTTATTACCTTTATTATTAATATAATTATGTTATATGGCATTTTACCTTCCCCCGACTTATCCCATGCTTGTCTTTCCTCTATCGCGAACAAGGGTTACTCTTATGTAGCACTAGTAAAGTTCCAGTGTGTTAGTCGTATTGAGTATATTCAAATGAGCTATTTGCATGCCGCCGGCATTGCTGTGAACTGTTTTAAGAACATCAAAATAAATACCATTGATTTTCAACATCGCTAAGATGATTTTACGATTACAATATATTTCTAGGAATTGGTTTACAAAAATATAAAAAGTTAAAGTTCTTCTATAGTTCAAATTTATTCCATAATATGGTGCATTGACGGTGATCGTGACCCGAACGGAATTTTCGAAATTCCTACTTGATAGACGTGGTGAGGATCGAATACATCACCTGTCGATTATTAGTTACATTGCTACCATTAGATCAAAAAGCCCGTCAGTTATGACCAGTTTTCTTAATGGCTTTGCCTAATACAAATCAGATATATCTGTTTTGATTATAATAACTTGTCACAGTCCGAGGTCTATTAATAAAACAAAAAGTTAAAATTTATGATTTTTATTTTAACTTTTATATTAACTGCTATCGTCAGTATTGGCATCTTTACAAAATATAATCCCTTTGTTTAATGGAAGAATTAAAACATATATTAATTTGGCAAATACAAATTCACCTAATTACATATAAGAACTTATTTTTACATTTTATACATCTAGACTAATTTATAAAAAAAACTTATCCCTAGTTATATGCTAAAAGAAGAATGAAGAATGCTTTTAATCTCATATTTACAGGATTTACAAAATTTACATTAAAGTTATGGACCGACTAATTAACTTACGTACAAATGAAATTATGAGACAAATTGATCAGTTAGTTATTCAGATCGAATGGTTACAATGAACGGACTTATTTACAGCTAATAATCCAATATTGCACGTTTAAAAACGTCAAATATTTATCAAAAACCACTTAAAATAGCAAACTCAATGTACATACATTTTCTACCAATTTGGTAGAAACATTTACGTTTTTATGAATGCAAATAGTAACATTTCCCTGCCGTTTGGTAGAAGTGAGAGATGCAAAACATAATTACAGTGAGACGATTGCTATTCTAATTGATTTAAGATGTCATTTTAAATAATATTATTATCAAGGAATGAATAATTTAATAATTGTATACACTTACTGGGCTACACTGTTCTCAAATATGTAAAAATATTTTTTTCTGCAATACATTTGTGAGATATCTAAGTACTTTTAACACAAACTAAGGTGACATATAGTATTAATATATTAAGGGAACTACCAATTGAGAACTGGCAACAAATTTTACATTTTTACTACATTTTTTAAATTTTGTAATGTAGCCCAATCAACGTATAAATACGCCATATACAAAGCGTTTTTGGCCAAGCTGCTCGGTGGTCTTTCCTAACCTGGTGGGCACTATATTTACAATCGAACCCACAATATTTTGGCATATATTTGTGACTCACCATTTTGTACGTGTATGCCATATGGCACGAACGCTCAGGCACCGAAAAGGCACTTTTGTACGAACTGTACTGTTTCATTGAATGCTTTTAATGAAACGATACACTAAAATATTTTGTAAAACAAATGGCGTTTTAAAGATTTCTTAAATCTTCTCTTTTTTTATCTTCTTGTCTTCTAATACCTTGTTGGAGAATTGGTATAAGTGAAGATTCATTGATTTTTATTAGTGTAATTGGATGTACTAAGTATATTTTCCGCACTAAAACATTAGTTTAATACCTCGTTTTTTTGTAAAGGCTTTAATATTTGAATTTCGTTAAAAGCATTCAACCAAACACATAGAATATATAAATTTACCTCATTTTGAACATACTGTTATGGCACCGTTTTCCGTACGTTATGATCAAATATAATACATTCATGGTCAGTTCAGTCTTCAACCAGAAATCTCAATAGGCAAATACAATCACAGTTTATTACGAACATTCACGGTGCCGTGTTGCTGGCAACACTCAATTAATTCCTCCTATTTATAGTCATTTTATTATCTAATGGTAGAAACTATGTTGAAATATTCAACATGGAGATGTTTGTAATTTCTTGTTAAATCTCAAGACAAAGTTTTTAAGCACCTAATTGGAAGAGTGAAATAGAACACAATTCCTACCGTATATAAGAAAGTCAAATTTATCGAATAAGGCATTTATATCTTAAAATGGCATTCAAAGTCGACAACAGTCAGGTAATTGCAGATCAATCTCATAGACAACGTTTGTCTAAGTTTTACCGGAATTTATACTTTACGTAAAAAAATCAGAAGCTGTATTTTAAATACGCGTTCTATATTCAAAATGATCTTTTCTAATTTCAAATTCTAGTCAAGGAACGTTTGTAACTTAAACCTGTACTCCTAGTACTCTATCGACAACAAATTCGTATCTAACTTCATCTTCGCCTTCATTGATTTTAAGTTCATTTTCGAAACACTCAGGGATACATGGGTTTTTGCATTCCACAGGTTCAGCCGCTTGGGTTTGTTTCTCATATGATGTCTTCGAGGACCTGCCATCGGGTGTACTACGCTCCTCCAAGTCTTGTTCCCAATCGTCTTCGGAGTTAGCTTCATCAGGAAGGGTCGGGACAGTCGACGTGGTGCGAGTGAAGAAGGCCATTTTTTCTCTACAAGTAACAAGTGGTTCGTTATTAGTGGACAGGAACTGATCCAAAATGAAAAAATATATAGAACTATATTTTTTTCTATAATAAATTTAATATCGATCGGTTTTAAATTTATCTTTTAAAAAGCTTATTATCAAGGGGGTTGATATAACTTATGTTCTTGGGAGTATGTTATGATACATAACGTCGTTCGGGAGACAGAAGAATCCTGTCGTAGCTCGTAAAAATACTCACTTAAAAGTAACAAGGTCTGGTTTCCTTCCTCCACCTTGCCTGGATTTTCTCAAGCGGTAAATCTCTTTACAGGTCCTCTGGAATAACTTGGAGACGCGGTCGTTACTTGTACTGTCTGGTGCTGATATTAGCCTGCGAAGAGTTTCGTCTTCAGCCACCCATGATGCTACTGTAGGGTCACCCTTGGCGCAAGCTTCTTCCAACCTAGAAATAAAAGAAAATCGTAAGTCCTTAAAACAGTAAACAGTTGTTACCAAAATAAATATTACCCTTAAACGCCTTAACCAAAGAATGCAATTCAATATTCAAATTAAATAACATTTATCAGATTCTACATCTTATAGATTTTTTCATGTGTTAACATGAAAAAATCAGGCATTGTTTAAATATATAAAAAAAAAAACTGTTAAAAGAGCTTAATATGCTATGGGTATTTTAAAGCACATTTTGAATCAATAATTTTTTTTACATAATTTATTTATTAATAATAACTTACCGTTTCTTCAACAGAGTGAGATGAGCTATCTCTTGACGTAGATCTGTTAGCCGTGAATGATGTGCTTTGAGGTCCAGTGAAAGATCAAGCGACGTACGCGCAGTGCGTTTGGTTGAGCTGTGTCTCACTGCAGTGCTGCGCACGCGGCCCCATCTGTTAAAGAAAAAATAAATAAAATATAAAAGCCTTTATTTCCTTTAATCTTGCTACTTGCATTTAAATATAAACAAATAAAATAATAAATAAATAAAATACCGCTGACTATAATAATACTGACCACATTTGGACAATTATATGAGTGAAAACTTTATTATTTCTTACATGTTATTGCACATGCAATTATACGTTTTTGTTTTATTCAGTTGGAAGACATTGTGTTTTATAAGTTATAAACACAATGTGAACACTCTGTCTGTAGTCGTTCGCGTGTTGTAAACGTTTAAATAAATAGTATAAAAAGTTATATATACAGTGTAAACTCCATGTAACGTCACTCTATTTAACGACAAACTCTCTTAAGCGTCGAAATCAATTGGCTTTGGTTGGTTTAGTTTGTTTTTCATACAATGTTTCTTCTCTCCATTTAACGACAACTCTCTATAACGCCATAAAATGCACAGTCCCTTCAGTGTCGCTATATAGAGTTTACACTGTATATACATATATGCAATAATAACTCTTACCTTAAAGATCGGCGTTCGCGCAGCGTCCTGTCGAAGGGGATACCAGGCGCAGTTGGAGGGTGAAGTACTCTTCGTGCATATTGAGACATTGAAGAGTCGGATTCTGATCGGTTCAGTCTGAAAATTAAAAGAAAATATATACAGATAAAAATATTATTGTATGTTTGATGAGGTGATTTTAATTTGTCAAAATAGTTGTTTTTTGTGTGGTAAGTGATTTTCAATAAACATTTCGATTACAGAAGTGCTGTTGTAACCAAAAAGACAGCAAAAGTTTGGTCAAAAAATTACATTATATCAACGGGATCATGAAGTATTTTTAACTATAGATAGTTCAACAACAAATATATTACTATGTTGTCATAGAATTGTATAAGTTCTTTTTTTAAAGTTCTATTTGCTTAATTATAAGTTAATAAATGCTAGTAATTTATATGTTACATCACTTACCTACAAATATAATGCCCTTTTCCGATACTCTGTGGTTGCGGAGAGAATGTTTGAGATCGTTTTATAGTCGCGAGCGACTCTTCTTGGTTTGTGCTTACTTGTTGACTTTTCCTGTAAAAAAAATGTAAAAAAAAATTATTAAAAAGAAGTAATTAACAACCAATTACAAAAAAATACACTTACAACAAAAATATTTTTGGCAAAAGATTTATTTAAATGCAATTTTTCACTGAAAGTATGACTTAAAAAAAACAGGCAAATAAAATTTACGTTTTCCATGTTTCATGCATATTTGAAGATCATGCTATCTAATTTAGCCCGTGCAAACATTCACAAAAAATATTTGAGACAATTACTTCGATCACATTTTTTTCTACCTGTATTGAAACTTGTTAGTGCAAGCAAACATCGAACCAATAATGAGCATAAGGTGCACATCCAAGCAACAACATTGGGACATACCTAATATATACAGGTATCTAACAATGTATATATACAATATATACTACTTCTCTAAAGTTCTGTCTTCGTGAGGCCGTCCGTCTGCCTCAATACGCTTCAGCTTATAAAATCTGAAGAACAATGTTTTCTTAATTTTTTGATTTAACCAAAGGAAAATTTGCCTCAATACGTACGCTTTTACTTTTAATTTAATTAATGTGTGCTCTTTTTAATAATTTAATTTTTGATACGATATAAACCCAACAAACCAAATATTATTCACGTTTCCACACCCCTACACACCCTAACCTTCCACCAACCCAACACCTTAAAAAAGAACCAAAACCAACCTCCTATGCAATTGCCTCCCTCCTTCTGGACAGAAGTTGCATTCGGTATTCGTTTCCTTCTCGGCAGTGGACGGAAGATACTCCTCTTCCAAATTCAACTCTTCTTCCGGAATGTAATCTTCGAAGGAATCTTCTTCTACAATCTATGGAAAATAACAACTTTTCTAACTCTTACGCCTGTTACTTGTAAAACGTACTGACATACATACGTTTATTAATATTTAAATGATCATAATGAAGAAACCCGCGATAACAAGAAAGAAAATTTAAATATTGTGCGTAAGGAACCGGCGAGTTCCCTGCCAGTTCTTCTGTTCGTTCTATGCCCTTTATTTGGGAACTGCTAGTAAATGTAAAATTTGGAGTTAAAAAAAACTGTTTTGACGTTCGGAAGTGTACCTTCATAAGCTACCTATACAAATAAATGACTTTTATTTAATCGTTTCTGTATCTATCGCACGAAAAACTGGAGAGAAAAAGCTATATACCTGATTAAGTGGTTCTCTTGCCTCTTCGTCTTCAGAAGCGGAATCATCACCACATTCTATGTTACACTCGGCTCCTGTCATACTTTCAGGACCTGGAAACATTACTATGATTATACGTCATCAAATGTTAAAGTGCAAAGTAAAAGCATATATTTACTTATTAGGTTTATTTGGATAACAATTGTATCTATCTTGTGAACCATGTCGGAATCGAATCTGCTTTCTTTTCACATACCTCTGTTTCTAGTGAGGGTAGAAGTTTGCGAAGAAATGACGGTAGATTCATCGGAGCTCTCGTCCCTTCTCATACTCCTAAAGCTCAAGACATTGTACCACTTCTGCGACGTGGACTCGGGGTCGAAATCAGCTAAACTAACTTGCGTACAGCCCTAGAAAAAAGCATTTAGTATAAAAGTGTATCCATATATATACAGTGGGATAGAAATGAAAATTTCATCAGAAAGATCGCTCTCGTCCAAGAAGTTTATCGCATGGCACTCAAGGCGTTTGCCGAATACTCGAATTTGGCTGTTTCTCATCATTTTAAGTACATGATGCGACAAAACATAAGTTCGTGTATTTAGCATGCACGTTAAAATTTTACGCCATAAATAGATACTAGCTGGTGCCCGCGACTTCGTCTACGCAGGATTAGTATTTGCAGTAGTTTATATTTAGCGTAGCGTAGAAAAGAACTAACATTATGAAACAAATATATGTAACTAACGTTTATGGCAGCACACGCCAGAATAGCTCGCAGAAAGGTAGATTTTTTAGGTAGGTAGCCTATGTGTTATTCTGATGTATACGCTATATTATTGGAAAATTTTAATTGAAATCCATTTTCTAGTTTTTGCGTGAAAGAGTAACAAACATCCATTCAAACACTCATACAAACTTTCATGTTCATAATAGGTTTATTATTAGTAGGATTATCTTTAGTTTCCCCGTGACCATGGTTACTGCTAAACATCGGATACGTCGGACCGTAGTGAGATATATAATAAGATATATACGTAAGATTATATATTAATTCGTCAATATCAATTATGAGGCCTAAAAGAACGAGCTGGAGCTCGTTTAAATTAAATTATATTTAAAGAAGCATAAAAACTTAGCGTTAAACTATTAATAATATACTGATATTAATATTTGGAAATACAAATAGTGAAAACGGTAGTTCAATAAAATTAAATTCAATTTCAAGTAAACAAAACCAGTTTTTAAACTATTTCTTTCGAGTCCATGCTGAAGATAACAGATAATAGACTTACCAAGCATTCACTATCCGCCGCCAAATTGATTTGTAAAGTGGCAGCCCTGAGTGCTCTAGAGCTGATGGAAGCTCGCTGATTGTTCCTCCATACTAGGGTCGTCCCTCGCCAGGCTAAAGCTGGTGTATTGAATACGATACCACCACCTCCGCCCACTACTAATGCGCCACGGACAGACCTGCACATAAAGTTAGTATATAAGTGACAATATAGGAAATAAGATTAAAAAATGTAACAGGTCAGATTTTGTAAACAAGTCAGATTTGAAGGAATGCAATGATGGTTGGATAACACAAATAGTATATTTGACGTTATAAACCGTCAAGTATTTTCGCTCATTGGTGGCGATTTCTTATCGGGTCGTGGGTTTGATCACCACCGGGTCCAACACTTTTAATTTATTTATGGTTTTTCGGAAACATGTTGGACTCCGTTTGGAGATTATATTATATCTGTAAAGTTAAAAAATATCATACTTACACTTCAATACCATTATCTATGTACAGCGCGTGTAAATTCCTAGCGCGAATGATTCCAATCTCCAACGCAGTTTCATCAGGACAGTAACGTAATTTGATCTCAATTTGCGCACTGTTCACTGTAACAGAAGATTAGATATAAACCTTTAAAAAAAAAATAGCATTCCTTTTTTATTTAAATAAAACGCAAAATATATTAAGGGAGTCTCCCGCTGCAAAGTCGTCTACGTCTAAAATCTACGTCGGGCCGTAGTTTAAATTATTTTCAAATAAGTTTACCTAATATATTTCACTACAGCAACAACGCGGAATGCTGTGAAGTCCTGTTAGTGTCGTGATTATTTTTTTTTTCAATCTAAAATCGATTTTTAACTTAGGTAGGGGTATACAATTAATTTCAATAATATAGTCTTGTGGGCTTTCAAAAAGGTAATACGATAGTTATGAAGGTGTGATTGTAATTACCGGCGTTGGAAGAGTCAGCCGCCTGCGCGGCTTCGAATACTCCAGAATCGCCCGCCACTGATTCATCGCTCACTGCTGCTGAGACAGATCTAGTATTTGTTCCTACGACAAGAACATTTCAAATGTAAATACTGTCTATAGTTTACGCGAGTAGTACACATTTAAATAAAACACTTTCGGTCTAAAACGCGACCACGGCTGCTGCAAAGCATCCGAAACGTCGGGCCGAAGTTAAAAATCATTTTCAAATAAGTTTAACTAATATATCGCGTTTTAAACCGTTGAAGTGTTTTATTTAAATTTCAAATGTACATAAAATATAGAAGTGACTGAAACTTTAATGCGAAATAATCACTTTTCTTGGTTTGTTTTTATTTTATTGTTAGCATTGCTAATAATTAACGGGTCGTAGGTTGGATCATGTTTCTTTATGAAAAATATTAGACTTCTTTCGAAAAATGTAAATATTAAATGGGCCGTAGGAATATCAAATCCGGCTGGGATATTTCATTCACCCTCCATCAAGCGAATCCCATGTCTGTCAAAAACTAAAAAAATGTAAAGAGTTAGTTTTACAGAATAAGGCTTCTAGATCAAAGTAAAACATTAACAAAATAAAACTTACCACTAGATGAGCAGGTGGGAGAAAGTGGTGGGGGCGTTTCTGAGATTGGCGATAGTGGCTCCACTGGCCGACCGGGGCCTTGCACTTGTACTGGAACTAAAAACGTTTATTCTATAGACATTGAACGAATTTCTAGAAAAAAAAAAAAAAAAAAAAAATTTTTTTAAAAAAAAAAAAAAAAAAAAAAAAAAAAAAAAAAGGCAGTCAAAAAAAAAAAATATAGAAAAAAAAAAAAAAAAAAAAAAGTTTTTTTTTTTAAGTTTTTTTTGTGGCAAAAAATTTTTTTTTGGTTTTGTAAAGATTTGTTTTTCTTTTGAAAAAGAATGTACGACACCCCGCCCGTGTCTTACTTGATCTGATATTCACAGCGTTCCGTGCTGTTGTTCTAACCTATTGAGCTACCGTGTCCTACTCGTCATGCTTGATTTTTTTTTTAATCTATTGATACTTGCACCTCTCGCGCATTGTAATATCAACCGTTAACACTTGATTATTAAGGTCAATTACAATAACATTTTTTTACAATTTCTCATATATTTTCTTGTTCACTTAAAATTGACACTTACTGCTAGTGGCTAAGCCTGTTACTTCGTTCAATCCAGCAGCAACTCCTATCCTCATTTCTGCTAATTTCTCCTCTAATTCCTTTTGTTGTCGTCTTTGTCTTTCCACCTTAACAAACAAAATCATATAATAAATAAATAACATAATAGATTCATATATATCAATGAAGATTAACAATAGTCAGTACAAAATCTATGATAAACATAAATAAATACCTGATTGTATGAAGGTGGTGGCGGAGGTGGGCTAGCTGAAGACAGACTACTTCTAGGAGATAGAGACGGTTGAGAGTGACAGCTACTGGCGCCAGGCGTCACACTGTCGTTGTAGCTAGAGCCGCGTAGTAATCTGTAATTTAGTATACATATTTTTAAAAGTTTTAGAGCTAAACATATAAAACTGTACAGTATTTGTTACAAGGATTTTTTCTGCTTTTTTCCTCATATGTACACATTTTAAATGTAAATTTAAATATACATACTATATAAGAATTCACATTTAAGGCTTGTTCTAATTATTCTTAGTTTGTATCAAAGTAAATAACGAACTAATTGACTTACCTCTCCACCCTCCGATGCAAATCAACCATATCGATAGGTTTGTCCGTTTGAAACGTGGTAGCTATCTGCGGCCCGCCGTAGATATCAGTAAAGCTAATCCCCGAACTTAAAGATCCCTTACTACTTGCTGTTGAAAGGGACCCCAGACTCGAACTGCTCGATACAGACAGCGTAGAGGCTGAGAGCGTCTTCAATTGACCCTCTAACGTCGTCATCGATGTAAGCGCATCCTTCAATTGCTGTAGTAGCAATTGCTTCTCCTCGTGCAGCCTCAATCTATCAGCTATACATTTATTAGACATCTCGAACGCGTTTTTAAGATCCTGCTCTAACCGTTTGCACTCAGACTGAATATCGCTCATCTCTTGTTTCGATCGAGTTCGAGGTGTGATACTCCTGAGTTCTCGTAGTAGTTGCTCTTTCTCTTGGAACAACAACAGCCGGTCCTTATCAGACTCCGCTTGGCCGGGCTGCACTTTGTCTTCCAGGTCTGCTAATTGTTGTTGGATTTGCTGTATCCGCTTTCTTGCTTCATCGTATTGGAGACGAACGCGAGCCATTTCCGCTAGTCTTGTACCAATGGGTACTAAGTCTGCGCAGAGGTCGGTTTGCGAGGCAGTGCTGAGTTTCTCTTGGGGGAGGCTTAACGTGGACAGATCTGGGGATGCATCCCCGAGTTGTAACCTTGTAAGGTCATCCTTCAATTTGGCCAACGATTGCATGAGATCTGCCCTCTCCTTTTCGCCAGATGTAAGGGATTTCTGGATATTCTTCAGTTCAGTCATGATTGCTTGCGCCTCGGTGATGTTGTAACATCCTTGCTGGGCGCTAAGTTTTTGTTCCACTCTGTAATTATATTATTCGTTATGATGGTGTTAAAAATATTCGAAATACATTTCAAGCTAATGAAGGTTGTACCAAATATGGGCATTATGCTTCAATTTTAGTTTTATTTCTTTATTTTTTTGAGTTTGGTATGTTATAAAATTAAAAATAACCTATTTTTATTAATTAAAAACGACACAAGAACGTCCATAATAACATCTATCATACCATAAACATATTATTTACTTATTATAACTGTCTGTTTAAATCAAAAGTATCGAGTTAGGGCATATTATTACGAACATGTATTTTTTATTAGAAATAAAAACATGTACGTTACTAACTCAGCAAGGGTGTCAACGCCGCGTCTTGCGCAGGCGACTTCTGCTCTCGCCTGCCTCAGCTCCTTGCGAAGTTGAGCGACTCTGCCCCTCGCCTGCGTCACTTCACACCTCAGTTGCTCCGGGTCGTGTCGTGACGTCGTTGAGGTCGTAGTGACGGACGTTGTTGAAGAACACACTGGATATAAAGATGTTTGTTAGGCAAGTTACACACACAGTACAAGATAACAATTAATTATACAAAAGATTGCCCATAAGTTAGTATTAGAGACTAAGATTGCGAACTTTTCTTTATTCTAATTAAACATATGTAAAAATTGTAATGATAAATAACATTGCCTTATCAATCTTTGAGAATTTATTATTGATTTTCAATGCGAATATTAACTAACAAAAAAACTGAAACATGTTTTTGCTATGTACCAATATTTCTAAGTAAATTATATATAAAATAGAGTAAAAGTACTGCAATCCTATATAATATAATTTGTATTTGTTGTTTTATTGTTGCTGATGTTGAAGTAAGTACCTACTTTAGGTGTACCTCAAGACCGTGTCAGTAAAAGAATAAAAACGTAAATCGTCTCCTAATTTCGGAAGGTAATTTCCAACGCGAGACCCCTATTACGTCCAAATTAAAGTTTAAAATTGCTTACATGCTGTATGAGAATGCGGGCCACGCCATAATGATGCCCAATTATTTTTTAAACAAAAATATTCCATTGCGTCATGTTTTGATACGAAGGCTGTATAGTATAAACATTTGTTGATATCTTTAAGAAAGTAATCACATACGATTCATGGAAGACGTTTGCAAATAAAATACAAATTATAATTTCTAATTTGTGTGTCCATGACAAGAGAAATACAACAGAAAATACTGAACGAACGTAAGAAGTTTCGAGAAAATAGTGTCATCTAGCAACGTAATCTTGTATAAATTGATATCTCTTATAATTTTTTTTATACGTCAACATAAGTAATTATGATATGAGATATTTCAGTCAAAATCACAAAAATTCAAAAGTTCAATGTCTTAAGGTCGACCTAACCTTCAAGACAATGTACACAACATATTTTAATGTGTACGGTGCATATTTACATAATCTGGTAAATATTAACAAATCCGTAATTAGTGACTTTAATTAATTTTAATTCGGTCTCGTTTTTAAACATTTTATCGGGAAAAATATCAAGATGGCGTCATATTATTTTGATAATCTGACAAATAATACGATTACAAAAAAAAATTATTTACTCTCTGGATTTTCAACTTTCAACAATTTTCGTCATGATAATATCTAGTTAGTTATTTAGAAGCAAATAATAATTTTATACATTTACAGCAAAAATTACCCATTCGGGATTCCATTTCACAAGTATGCGAATATATTATCTATTGTATTATTCAAAATGGAATCCGAGAGAGCCATTCACAGATACTTGAATAGATTCTTAACTCTATATCGAGGAATTCCTTGAGAATATTTTTAATTTTACAACATCGGAATGCGAAGATTCTTTTATAATTATCTTTATAATGGGCTAACGTTATTGAACTTACTTAAATGATTGTTAACTCTTAATAATAATAACTTTTTATATACAGAAAGTATTTCTTGCAAAAAGCCTTAATTTATCAGTTTATCATTTTAATAAAGTAAGTTATACGTAAGTGTATTCAACAACGGTTTGTCTATGAAAATAAAATACTTACAGCTAGTTCTCGAAGCCGCTAATGTCGAAAGAGCGTTATTCAAGTGTTTATATTCATCTTGAGCTAAGCATAACCTCTGTTTTTTTACATCGTACATCTCCCGTTTAGCCTGAAACAAAAGAGACAAAAATACAATACTCCACAGATATACAAAAACAATATTACACACATTATATTTTTAATCAAGCGGTCATAGACACTGGTTGTTGAAATTCGCGGCAAAACTGAAATTTGACATTTCAGGACGGAAATAATAAAAAAAGATTGCATTATAATTTAAGACTTGACAGTAAGTCAAATAGTTGGTGTCATCTCGCTAAACACTTTCTATTCTGAACGTTACATCATTCTAAAAATAGAGAGCATTAATTGCTTTGATTATAGCGGTCTAAAATGTAGTCGTTTATTCTTGAGATATAGTATGTGTTTTTAGCTTTTTAGTATTATTTATTTTTTTATTAAATTACTTTAGGACTTTTTAGAATGTTATGTATTATTTTATGTGTTGGTAGTTTAGACGCGTAATTAATTTTATTGCCCTTAAATTAAATCACTTTTAACGGTTTTAAAAGCGAAGTATAGTAGTTAACTTATTTACAATTTTTTAATCGGCCCGACGTTTCTGACTTTGCAGGAGCCGTAGTAAATAACTAAATCCGAATATTTAGAGTCCAAAAATGAGTTGACAGCAAATCTTCTTGAGATTTTATACGACTTTGGTATATCACCTTGCGTCAAGTGAATCTGTCTCCTCAATCTTAAAAACGATGTGTACTACTCTCGTAAACTACAAACAATACATCATTTCGCTTTATACAAACTATTAAACAGGTTTAATTTTTTGTTGGATTCTGTTCAATTCCAATTATTGAATTAAACTGGGTTTATTTTTGCGTCTATTTTCCTGATCCATTCCCCTTTATAAGCTGCTGTGTACTCCTTGGCTATTAAGGAAAAAGTATTATGTCTAGGGAGATAGGATCGGATTGAACACTTTGACGCTAAACACAATTCATAGACGGTCAACAAATTATAGTGAAGGATGAAGTACACAATACAAACCGGGCATTACCCAGTTTAATATAAATTATGGCTTTATAAACATTTGACATCCGGGTAATAAAAATATCATATTAAAACGAGGTTTATTTGAAGTAATTGTGTTGTGGCGTCACGTCAGTAGTTAATGTTCTGACTGTCATGAAATCAATAGAAAAATAGGATTTTCACAAATAGTTGACAGAATCGCTACAGTAGAGTTGAATAAATAATTTTATTACTCGAATGCCGCAATCGATGCGAATATCGCGAATCCATTAGAAATGTGACAATTTCGTGTAAATAAACTCAATAATTATTTGCGTGTGAACTGGTAATATTTGCAGTTTAGAGTTGATTCAAACAAATATATCAAGTGAAAGAAAGTCTCCTAAAAATCTTATAACAAATAGACAATCTAAACGATCTAGCGTTTATAAAACATAATTCACGTTTCCATGACAACGATGTCTACCTACATTGTTATAGCTAAAGAGTTAGTATAATTTGCATTTGACTATTTATCATACAAGACGAAAATAAAAACTTAACTAACTAAACAGACAACAAAACGGTACATAAGCACACTCTAAGAAAATACATTTTAAGGATTTTTAATCGATTTATAACAGTTCTTACTCGAATCTCATTTTAAGTGATGGTTAACGCAGTCATTAGAACAGAATTCACCTAGAATTTTTTGCGCACGAACAGTATGTAGGTATTACGGGCTACTTTTTGTCGGAATGCGCACAAAAACTGACCGCATCTCTCAAAACGTATCCTGTTCAAAGAAATTGAATTCGTATATTCTGAAATTACCGCTAAGAATCCAAACTAAGGGTGGGTCCAGAGTGACGGCGTACAGAGGCAGTAATTATATGTTTGAGATAAACAGACATTGAATGACAATCAGGATACAGTGTGGCCCACCTAGAGGATATAGAACATTAATCTTATCTATCCTGATATCGACTGTTGCATGATACTAATACTGTATCAATAGAAGCCGCTTTGAAGTTCCTTTAAAACGCGTTACCTCACGTTAGTTAGTGTGGAATATATCTATGTAAATTTCGCTCCGCTAGACACCATACGCGTTATAATATCACTGGGGACTCAGCCTTATGTTCGCCAACGCCGGCCCGAACCTCGCAAAACCTGACTCGATCCAACCTAATACGTGACATTGAACTTGCTGTTAACTGACGACTTCGCGAATTCCAACTACATTTTCAAGGGAATAGCTACGAAAATATTTAATTTGACTTCACGATTCTAACAAGAGACGGAAATCTCTCGCGCTCTCGAAATCGAGGCGGAATACCTATCTAAGAATTATATTTACAGTAATGAGCCGCAGAGACCCCGTCATCCGCCCAGCGTGCTGCAGTCTGCTCCAAGTGTGAGGCGGGCATTGAGGGAACGTGCCATTTCTGCTCAACACTTGAGTCGCGACGTAACCTTGCCCTTCATAGTACGGCACCTCAGACACTGGCACTAAACGCACTTCCGCGGAACGAATCTGACGCACTGATAGTATATTCTCATATATTGCCTCGTCCTCCAAGTTCTGCCCTTCAGGGCAGAGGCGGTAACCAAACTCGCGGCTTATTTCGTCCAGGTTCGCGTACTCGGGACGCTTGCGCATATCGTCTAAGTTCTGGTACTGGGGTTCATCGCGGACTCGGAGACCGGGGGGTCGCGTGGACGTAGGGTCCACTCGGACCCCATACTCGGGAGGAGCGTTACGGACCATTCTTGCGATTTGGCGAGAGCACCCTCTGAAACATGGGGCGTTTAGCGAGGTAGCGCGGGCGCGGAAGGTCGCTTCGGGTTCTGGAGGCGGCGGTTGGGACCACATAGTGTACGCCCGCAACGGACACATCTTAACCCCAAAAAGGGCGCGCGACGACTGGCGCGGGCGCGCGGTGCTCGGGTGGCGTGCGGCGGAATGCGCCCGCGCAGCCGAAAGAATGCAATCTCGGGCGCATTTCGGAGGTCGATCTCTCCGAAGGGCCGTCCCGCGCGCTTCTGGCCGCGGCCATCTGTCGTAATAAGTTCGACGAAACGCGGGGACTATGCGCCCGGGCCTATAACGGACCGCCGTGACCTCCACACGCGAATCATTCAATAAGCAATTCCTCATTCCTCCTTCGATACAACATGTAGAACGAATCTCGGGAAATCAAACCTGATTTTGATAAAATTTATTTTAACAGCAACAATTACAAGGCCTATAATTAAATAGTAATTTATTGAAAGCAAAAAATATTTTTTTTAATGAGATAAAAATTCAAAAGTCTGAAATCAGAATCTAAGCAATGAGACATAATACTTATTTAAGATTAAAATAACGAGACAACTAACATCCATAAACTTGTAGAAACTACGCCATTTTTATAAACAAAAAGACGTTCTCAAGACTAGAGAAAACAGAATAAGCCCGTCCAACAGCGGACGTAAGGATTATCAGAAATATTTGTATATCGAAAATAGCCGAACTGTCAGACAAATATTTATCACACGTGCACAAATAAACAATCCGTCGCTCCAATCGACTAATCCACATATGGCTAAAGCCTTTGAAGTCGGCTAACGAACAATTTGATATGCGGCGTCGCGACGCTGAGACGCGACAGTTATGCCGGCACTTATGCGCGATTTTCTCAGATTTTCCACGTAATCAATTTACGCGTTTTAACGTATAACATCGGAATGTCGGGCCACATCTGGCATGTTGCAGGTAGACGCGGGCATTTTTGTTCCGGAATTCCTTGACGCATTAGCGATCCTGTTCTGCTTTGGCGCACATTTGAAATTGTAAACATTTAAAAGCTCGTGTGAAGTAAAGCTTAGGCAAAAATCCAGTTTCTCGTTTAAAATGCCCAAAAGAGAGGTGAGATACTAGCATAGGATTATCTCGAAGTTAAAAAATATAAGCCAATATATATCTCGTTTTTAAAGAAATTTTCTTTGCAAAGATGGGGAAGCTTTTTCTCTCGCCTAAGTTGCATATTTCCACGTCTCCAATCCGCAGTCACACGCGTCACGGATGACGTTTACTTAGACGGACATTATGAATAATTACACATCGCATCACTTTGCATAGTATTATACTTAGTCGTGAGCATGTAATTTCGCATACTCCCACAGAGTAAATAAGCGCCAATAATGCATTAAAATATCTATATTAAAGACATCTGTCATGACAACAGGCTATGCATTATCTGTATATGTAAAATACTCTGTGTATCAGGACAGACTGATCAACAAACACCTTAAACCACAGATCGTAGAAACCATAAATTTAAAGAGCCTGCTATATGATAAAATATATTTGGTTAAAAAACAGAAATATCTTTTGGATTTTTTTAAGAGGACCAAAATTGGAGGGGGACCATGTATTTTCTTCTTGAAGCTTCGTAATATTCTTCATAATATTTTTAACCAAAATTAGTATTCATATATTAAAACACTAAAGTGCGTAACGCCGCGGGACGTTACTAGTAGCCACAATTGATGAATCGATAACAGAATATAATTACGATGACCATCATTAAGTCACAATGTCTTTAAAGGCCGGATAATGACAATATACCAATAAAAAGGTCTCGGAATTTTTATAATAGATAGGTCTTCTACGTCCTGTTTTAATGCATTTTTGACCTTTAACCTTTCAGTATGTATATTACCAGCTAGTTATTTATAAACTTAACATCTCTATTCGAGTAATTTATGTCTTTATGATCTAGAACTTCTTCATACAGACAAAGATATATAGAACAGTACAATATCGTAGTTTTCATTTGTTAATGACGGAGTGAACCAACATACAGGAAAACGAAAGATCCGAAATTTAAATAAATAAATGAGTATTATTTAAAATACAATTTAAATTCAATTCTTATTTTAAAAAAACTAGCTTCGCAGAAGTCAGTGCCATAATTATTAGTGATTTAATTCATAATAACAAGGTAGAAACTAGACAGGTAATTTGGTACGGTGCCAGCATTCCGAGCGCGGTATTTACGACTAATGGTGTAGTTTTTGCGAAGAAAAAAGCAAAAAATTTCGTAGACTAGACGGTTCACATCCGATCTATTAGGAAATTTGAGATTCCGTCTATACAGGATATTAACACAGGATACGAGAATATAAACTATTCCTAAATTAACTCTAGTACTCAAACACTTACTTGAAAACGATAGATTTTTTTTTTCGAATTTCTCTTGTTTTGAATCTTTGGCCCATTATAAACTAGCTCCAAAATATATTAAGGACAGCATTTTTAAATCACAAAATTGTTTAAGTTTCCGAAACCAAATATAGAACATCGCACGTAAAAATAAATGTTTCATTATTGTCTTTTAACAGTTTGAAATGCAAAATATATTTGTTGACTTATTTTTAATGTTATTGCAACTACCGCGCGACGTTTTGCTTTACTGCAGCCGTGGTCATGGGAGGGACTTCCCCCTCCCGTCAATAAAAAATAAGGTAACTAATATAATATTGTTTTAAATCGTCAAAAGTGTTTTATTCAAAGGTTTTATTATTTTAAATCTGTCAGCGTGTATGTTAATCGTCTCATCGGAAGCAATTTAGTTTTCTTATGTAAAGCCAGAGATTGGTTGTTCGTTGGAATTGTTTTTAATAATTATTTTCTTATAGTTGGAATCTGTGAGATTGCCGTGGGGGATTCAAGGAGCATCTGTCGCGACCGGTTACTTTTCAACTCGTGCACCGTCTCTCTCCAACACCACGGGTTGTCTGCATACATCCGTCTCTATCGCACTCGCTTCTCCACGGAACTAATTTTATGTTTTTTTGCCTCTTTGCCTATCTTCTGGAAGCGAATGGATATTCGAGCTTCCCTCTAGCTTTTCATTTGTCGAACATTTTTGTGTCCTATCTTTGGAATAATCAAATTGATATTATCTACTATTTCAGATGTAAGGACGGGATAACATTTTTAAAATAACACAAGTAATTCTGCCGACATATGGAATTATATGAGACTATAACGAAAAAGTTACATTAATATTCTAAAATATTGTAATTTCGAAATCGAATTGATAGAAGTTTTCAACGGAGCAAGTATTAAAGTTTAAAAGTTTGTTCCGTAGTAAAATAATAACAAAAACTAATAAATGCGCATGCGCAGTTATTGTTTTCAACTGTATGTCTGAGTATAGGAAATAAATGAAACTGGCTACACTTCACTAGTTAGATAAGGCAACGATATCCGAAATTCAAGACGACCAGTGCGCGGACGCGGACGTTTTGTTTTTTATTACTTTCGGACGGCCGAAGGCATGGATGCGATTAACATTCCTCGGATACCGTACGCCCCTCTACCGAGGCCCTTATTAATACTGGGATGGGCAAATTTTGATACTTTTATTTTTTATGCAGGAAGACGACAGACGCCAGATACAGTGGGCCCACTAGCTAATAAAGTTAAAACTGAAAGATCCATATTTAAATTGCTAGAAAGATCAAGAGTAAGGACAGATCACGCATTACCAAGACACACTATATCCACATACTAGATGGCATAATAACTCAGCAACTTATTCTAGGTTTTATCTGCATCTATAGACAGTTAAAAAGATAGTAAGCTGATAAGGCTCAACCCAAGACGTACCTTTAGAGTATAGACGCTGTCGGACCGTTCTGGCTTTGGTTATTCGAAAATCCAGACTAACGCGATTAACTGTGGACGGTGGATGGTGACCCGGACGGAATTTTGATATTCCTACCAAGACAAATGTTGAACCTGCTGGGCATCGATCCCACCACCTGATGATTTTTATCCATACATGCTACCATCACACCAACGAGCCCGTCTATAACTAAAAATATTCAGTATAGGTCTACTTCATTAACAGAAGAGTAAATAATCAAAAAGTGAACAAAAATTTACTTTTCTTATCTTTTATTAGTAAATAATATGAACACAATATAACAGTTCGATACTGTCTAGGTCTAAATAAAAATTCCCAGAGTAACAAAACGAAATTCTCTGTATCATGACAAGTCTATTATAAGTATATTTAGATACCATTACGACAGTCCTATGATGAGACATCTTAACTGCGTTACTAATAATTATTGATACTTCAAGAAAAATATGAGACCATTACATGGGCATTAATTACGAGAATTTGCATACAAGTTGTTGAAGTAAGAAAAAATATTGCGGCAACCGAAGCTATATAGATCGACGATCGAAGACTAAATAAAATAAATGTTGTTCCAAATTATTTTTTTGATTGAAGTTTTGGTTAAGACATGTTTTTAAATATCAATAGCGACAAATCTATATATAATATAAAATCATTAAGAATCCGAATTTTCTCTCAAAACCTACTAAATAGACTTCCCTTTCAATTGTAGCTATGAAAATAGGACAAAATATATATCTATATGAGAAAGATCACAGTAAAAAAATAGTAGTGTTACTATTTTATGATAGACGGGCATGGTGTTCCATTGATGGAAGTTGAAATATCCTAGCTACTCGTATACAACATCTTGACACATGAGCTATAGAACTATTTTTGGTTATGGATATTATACAAATTGTAACTCTCTAAAGTCTAAACACATTATAATCTATATATGTTGCAAGTGAAGTGCAGTAAAACACTACTAAACATATGTTTTATACGTCTTATTAAATTCCCTTTTTTTTTCATTTTATCGTTTCTCAGCATGCCCCGGTGAAAATACTTCTAGAAATCCTGACCTTAACTTTTAAGTAAGGTCTTTTACAATACCTTTCTTTCGAGAAAGGACATGCAAAACATGAGAGGAGATCGCGGTCAAGGTAACGAGAATTGTTTAGTGAAATCAAAATAACTTTTAAAATAGTATAATAATGTAATTTTATTTAGATTTACGTTACGTTACGTACTAAAATGTTAAATTAATCATTAATACACATTAATTACTTAAATTAAAAGTTCTCACAAAAAAAAACGAAAAATGTTCTTCACGTCCCGCTTAGAACGTGTCTATAATAGACACGTTCTTACAAGGGAACACAAATTTAATTTAGCATGTTCTTAGAAGATAACGGTTATAAAACACGCCATCTGTGGAACCATGCACCGGGGATCGAACCCGCATCGAATGAACAGC